CAGGTGGACCCCAGGACAGGTGGACCCGGGGCAGGTGGACCCGGGGCAGGTGGACCTGGGGCAGGTGGACCCGGGGCAGGGTGAACCTTGGTCCAGCGTCTCTGCAGAGCAGCCAAGGCCTGCAACACACCCGTCAGCCCTCTTAGCCTCGCTTTGCCCAGAGGGCACCAGCCTCTCTGCCCTTGTCCGCTCCCCCGGCCCTCCCATTCTGAGTCTGGGCCCGGGTCCCGCCCGCCTGCGCCCAGGCTGACCCTCAGGAACTGGGAGCTGCCTCCCGCCCAGGAGTCCTGGCGTCCCATTCAAGCCTCCCTGCTCTGTTTATCTGCAGCCAGAAGACAAAACGCCACGGCTCTGAGTCACCCTGCTCCCCAGTCTGATTCATACGGGAGGCCCATGCGGGGACTAACCCGCCATTAACCTCTTGGTTTCTTTACGTATCTCCAGCAAAAGGCAGCTGTGGCTCTGGACTGAGGATTCACGCGCTGCCTGGCTCCGTGTGCTCCTGGTGTCACACAGACAGGACACGATCTGGGGAAGCCGTGGGCCCAGGGCTTTCCCTCCTGGAAACCTCGGCCACTTCACCCTGTGCTGATGGAAACTTACAAATATTTCAGTCATCTTTCTGAAAAGGATTTGGTCATCTGGCAATGTGGCCCCAGAATTTGCCAGAAGAATGCATCAAGTGCAGCTCAGGGTGTGACAGGCTTGGTGCAAAGATACGCCTAAGAGTCTAAGAGGGAGTGTGAGACTCAGAGCCTGGTGCTCTGCTGGGGACACAGATCGGTCTCTGCCCCTAGGGAGGCACAGACATTAGAGGAGGTGCCACCAGCGGGCGCGGGGCCTAGGGTTCTGAAGAACTGGACCTGCAGGGACGGGTGGGGGTGGGGGTGGGGGGTGTGAATCCACTGCTCCTCCAACCTCCCCTCCAGCCCTGAGCACTTGCCGTTCACCACCGAAGGCGCCAGTGGTTTTCATCTGTTCCCAACGACTGGTGAGCATAGACACCCCAAAGGCTTGGAGGGGTCTTTCTTTTCCCTCCTGCCAGCTTGGGTCAGTAGAAGAGTTCTGAGCTCACTGCATTTTCTCCACTTGCTTCCACAAACCTAAAGTGGTTTATGATGAACAGATCCCCAAATACACAGACCAAATAAGAAAAAGAAAAGTGAGGATGCTGAAACCAAAGGGGGGGGGCGTACCACAGCGGGCAGAGGAGGAGCTAATTCCCCTAGAGAAGCGCCATGAGCAGTTGTGCCTCCGCGACAGGTGGAAAGCAGGGAGCCCGGCCCGGCCAGGCCCGGGAAATGCTCTGGAAGAACACACCAACTTACCCAAACATTGCGGCGCTGTGTGAAGATAATGTGAGGATAATGGACAGGGTCCTGAATGAGGACTGCAGAAGACACAAAAATACAGAGGGTGCCAAAAAATCACACACATTGTAAGAAAGGAAAACTGTATTAAAATTGTAATACCCAATCTACACCGCTAACAAAAGATGAATACAAGGCACATTTGACTTCTGCAATTACAAGAGGTGCTCAAAGTGGTTCCCATCAGTGTCCAGACACTTCTGATGACGGCGAACTACTGCTTGAGCAACGTTGACCCAAGTGTCCACTTGTGTACATTTTTTTGGCACCCCCGGTATACCATGTAAGGCCACTTTCTTATATTACTTCAGTAGGAACCAAAGTTGTAACACTGAGCGAAGCTTCCATGAAGGCATTTCTGCGGGGGAGGGGAGGGCCGAGGGGGGACTGCTTTACTGCTGTGGGCCTGGGGTGAGGGTAACCAGAGTCCAGAGGAAGAGGCAGTTGGGATGTGCCCCCCAACCTATATTTGAAAAGCACTGGTTTGTTTCCTCAAATTGCAAAAGTCACACGCGCACGGCATTTGCAGAAGATTGGGAAAATACAGACAAGCGGTAAGAAGGAAAGGAAGGGCTTTTGTTTACATTTTGGTCTAGAGACATTCCCTCCTCACTCCCTCTCTAGATAAGCACCCCCATGCGAGCACACACACTTTCACATGTGGGGTTTTCAGCCTGGGATCACGGGATGGGTTCCACTGTGTAACCATTCCCTGAGCATTGTTCAACGTTCGTTGACGACACAAAATCTGCTGACTGCATAGTGTTCCAGTCTGTGGATGGACCGCAACTCATTCGAGCCACCGCCCACGATATTTCAAACGTTTCACCAATATTAGCAAAGCTAGTGTGAATTTCTTGTTGCTGAGCAGATCCGCCGTTATTCACACAAGATAATTCCTGAAAGTGGAATCACTCACTCAAAGGGGATTTCCTAGTTTTAAATCTTTTCTCACCTCAGAGTCTCCTTAGAGAGACTTGACCATTTCCTGGCTCCCTGGCAGAGACAAGACAGCCCGGCCCCTCACGCCTCCCTCAACACCGGGGTTTTTGTTACAGTTTCCCAATTTAATAAACAGTAGTCTCCTCCTGTTTTGTTTTTTGATTTCTTGATTATTGTTGAAGCTCAACATCTTTTGTGTATTTTGAGGCCAACTGAATTCCTCCTTTGGTAAGTTCATACTGTTTGCCCCGATTTCCCACTGGGTAATTGTCTTTTTTTCTTTTGAATTTTTAAGGGTTCCTTGTCTAGTGAAGAGTATTGGTCTAATGTAACACAGATTGTACATCCTCCCGGGTTCATTTAAAATTTTGACTATCAGAGCTTTTTGGTGTAGAGAAGTTTTTAATTTAATCAGAGTTCTTTTTTCCTTCTGACTTGTGCTTGCTGTAGTTCCAACGACCAGCTTTAGGAAACAGAGGCTGTGAAGAGACAACAGTACATGTCACTTCCGTCCTCTGAAAGTTCATTGGACTCTGTGGGACAGTGACCCAGGCGTCCCTCTACATTCCATCCTTGGTGGGGCCACACACTGTAGGTGACCCCTGCTGCACGGGCCCTGGGAACCTCGATGGGGCAAAACCAAGGCATCTGCCGGGTTTCACCAGGAAATCTGGGTTTCTATTAGCTCTGGCAGCAGCTGTTTTAAGGGAGAAGATGAGTGGGTGACTATGGTGACATCCATGCCCAGCCAGCATCAGGGGTGCCAACTTAGCTCATGTCACACGGATGACATTTCTGGAAGTGAGTTGAGCAAAGGACCGCTGTGGCTGGAGTGCTGGCCCCAGGGTCCCGGGCACGCAGCGGTGACATGGACGTGTTTGTTCCCTGGGGAAGCTCTGCTGGGCTGCAAATCTGAAGAAGGTGCTCATGAATCAGGGTGTGTCTGCTGTGCCGCTACAGGGGGACCAGCAGCGGTGACAGAGGGGGACCTGAGACCAGACGAGTCTGGCTTGTGGGGGTGACCCAGTTCTCATCAGGCGCGATGCACAACTTAACGAGGGGAACGGCAGACAACCAGAGTCCTGACCTCTGTCTCCCTCGGGAGCCCTCTCAGCAGCTGGCGGGCGTCTGTCCCCCTCGCTGGTGGGTCTCTTTGCTGGGACCAGGGGACCAGGCGTGGGGACAGCAGCAACCACTGCACCTTTGCTTTCGGCACTCGCCCTTCCCGGCCCGATTCTTTGGGGTCTCTTCTGAGTTCTCCTGGGCCCTTCCGTCTGGATTCCCGACACAAACATCCACGAGCCCGATGTGCTCTCTGGAGTCTCTGCGAGGGTCTCACCGTGCTGGCCACACCACACCATGCAGGTGATGGCGTGTTAGAAAGCAAGAGCTGAAACACGGCCGAGGAAACACCGGGCCAGCCCCTCTCCTGCCCATCCCTCTTGTCTGGGTCCCCAAGACACAGGTGGCTCAGGAAACATGTAAAAGGTTAACAGATGGGTGGGGAGTGGGGGGAGGAGAGACAAAGGACAAAGGGGGGAAACCAGCCCGCTGCCCTGAATGATTCTGTGTGACCCTCCTCCCCAGGAGTGTCCCCCTCTGGGGGCAGCGCCTGCAGTGCCGGTCACGGTCACATGGCCCACTCACTGCACTGTGTTCTGTTCCCAGGACTGGACAGAGAGAGGGGTTCATTTAGAAGAGCGGCCCAGAGCCAGAGGCCCCACTTTCTAGGGATCATCACATCCCTGGTGGTGGCATCAACCCTTCGAGGGTCTCTGAGCCTGGGGACCAGCCTGAGCCGGCCTGGCTTTGGGGGACCATGCCTGAGTGTGATGGTTACCATCCTCATGTCCCCCACCCCCACCCCACCACCACCACAGAGGCAGGCAAGGCTCCCGCTCATCTGACGACGGGCTGATCGCAGCAGTGAGGAAACTTGGGGCCACTCCCTCCATCCCCAGCCCCCTAAAGGGTGCGAACTCAGTGTACCAGGCAGAGGCTTCCAGAGGGGCCATCGCATGCCCCTAAAGCCAGAGGGGACAAAATAAACAACGTGTTATCAGAGTTGTTTGAGGAACTTTTTTTTTTTTTAATGACCGCATTAGGAAAAGGATTTCGAAAGGAAAATGCTTTTAGACAGGACGGCTTGACTAGATGAAAATCATCTGATAAGCGCTGAGTCATGTGGGTAAACTGGAGAGCATCTCTGGAAAGTGGAGAAAAGTTGAAGGCTTATAATAAATACTTCCACCCCCAAGGCCTATCGGTTACCAGAGAGGCCCACGGGCTGAGTCACAGGATTTTGGTTTTGGTGGTAAAATACCCATAATGTAAAATTTATCATTTTAAAGTACACAGTTCAGTGGAATTAAGTCACATCGTTGTGCAAACACCATCCCTATCTAGTTCCAGGACTTTTTCATTGCCCCAAACAGAAATCCTATATCCATTAAGCAATCATGCCTCCCTCCCCTCCCCCAAGTCCCTGGCAGCCACGGACTGACTCTGGTCTGCTCTGGGTACGTCAGTTAAATGCAGTCATACAATACTTGGTCTTTGCGTCTGAGTTCTTTAACTTAGCACAACGACCTCAAGGTCGCCAAGGAATCAGAACTTCACCCTTCTCGTGGCCGAGTGATAACTCCATCGTGCGGCTAACAGCAACCCACTCATTCATTCCTCAGCTGACGCACATCCGTGTCGCTGTCCCCGTTTAGCGACTGTGAACAGTGCAACACGCGTGGACAGGTGCTCAGACACCTGCTTTCAACTCGGTGGGGTATATACCCAGGAAGGAGTGCCTGGGACCACTGGCTGTTAGGATTTTCATAACTGGAGGGCTAGCAGAAACTCCATCACTTTCCAGGTCAGAAAACGGAGTCCCAGAGGGGTTGTGACATCCTGAACGCCACACACAGTTACAGGACCGGGAGCTGAAAGACGTTGTCTGCTCCATGTTCAACTTCAGTGACATCTCACTGGGGACACTGATCCCCAGGCACGAGACAATGGGTTTCGCCCGGCGGATGAACTTGGGGACCTAGCCTGCCCCTACAAAGGCAACAGCCTTTGGTTTCCGTCTAATTAAAATTTCCCCAAAGAGAAAAATGCCCTGTCAGAGGAGCTTCCTCGGGGGGAGAGTGACATATGATTTATTCTGGAAACAATGACTTCAGTACATTGCAAACTCCGTGGTGGAGAGCCACACTGCGCATCGCAGGAACGCTCACCAGCCCTCGGAGCTCACAAGCTGCCTCGCAGTGTGAAGAACGCAGCAGCAGAAAGCGCAGAGGGCCATCCAGGGCCAGCGATGGTGCCTGGTCACCTTCTGTCTCCTCACTCCCCTTCTTCCTGGTTAGAAAAGTGAGATTATGTGATCGGTGTTCAGCGGGGGTTGCTGTAACTTCCAGAATCGTATACCACAAGCCGACTGTCCAAGAGCTTGGTTCTGAGACTGCACGTGACACGCTTCTGAGGGACGCGCAGGAGGACGAAGCGTGTCGCCTGCAGAAGTGGCGTTTCATCACCGGTCCAGGAGTCCGTCCTGCTGCCCAAGCAGAGCGGTGCCGTGCAGGTGGCTCTCCCAGCAAAGCCAGGCTCACCGGCTTCCCTGCAGACCTCGGGGGGTGGCGGGCGGGGTGCTCTCCGGGACGTCGGCTGTTTTCAGAGGAGCAGACGTGGGGTTTGACTGCAGGGCTTATATCTATGGTTATGAAATCCAGGAGGAGGAAATAAATGCTGAGTTATCACTTCCTATCATTAACCTTGGCAAACGCTGGGCTCCCGCTCAGACATTCATCAGTGTGACCTGAGCGGGGGGGGGGGGGGGATCGGTGAGCAGCTCCAAGCCGTCCAGCCTGGAGGTCCAGGGCAGTACGAAGGGGGTGGAGCCAGCAGGGGCCCGCCTGTTGCTCCCCTCCACTGTCATCAGAGGGGCCCTTCAAGTCACTCAGATCTCCACCCCTGCGGACAGGAGGTGACCACCCCGCCCACCTGCTCTCAGGGACCTGTTTTTTTCTGGCACCTGAAACACTTAGTGACTGTGGCAGACTCCTCCCAGGCAGGGGCCACATCTGGCAGGTCTCTGATGCCCCTCTCAGGATGACGCGGACCCCTGGGAACACATAGGACGTGAAGGCATTGCAGGGCCCTGTTAAGCCACAGTGGCCGGGGTGGCCTCTGCCTGGGGCACTACTGCCGCAGCATTAAGGTGGCTCTGCAGGATTTTTACAAAATGTTATTTTTCTGGGAAGGCAGGCAGAAGCTTGTTCAGATAAGCCACTGTCCTCCAGGTTTCTGGGGGACCCCAAGGAGAGGCCATGGACCTGCAGCGGGCAGCAGAGGCTGGCACACACCATGCACAAGCCCGGGTCCTTCTGGTCTCTTCTTAAGAGGCCCCGACCCCCTCACCACCCCATTCATTGCGAAATTCCCTTTTCCTGTCCAAATCCTCCTTTTTTATTTTCATTTGTCATTCCTGAAAAAATTACCTTTTTCATATTATAAATTGTAAATGACAGATTAATATTTACAGAGTCGCTGGAGACACACACAGAGATTAAATTGCTTGGCAATGAAATTCTATGGACTTATTCCTTTGTGAAATGTAATACACCGAAAATGGATATAGCATAATAACAATATTTGAAAGGAGCAGATAAATAATATCATAGTCCTTGCTTTTTGCTTAATGTTTAAAAGAAAATCTGTACCTTCAAAAAAAAATAGTCTTAAAGTTTTAGAATTGGCAATAATGTAACATCCAGCAAAATAGCCTTGTGTTAATTTTGCCTGTAAAGACCTCTTTGTGTGGACGTTTTATTATACAATTACACAAAAGGGGCCTCGAGATACGCACCGTGTGCGTGGAGACCTGCCTCAGCCCTGCTGAAGACACCAACGCCAGCCCCGGATGCACCACTGGGGGAGTCACCACGGCCCTCAGGCAGTTTGGGGGTGATCAAAGCAGGTCATTTTGCACAAGAGAAATCAACGAAACAAACACCTCAGGCTTCCTATCCATTTGGGGCACTTTTGTTCTGGAATCAACGGAACGATTTTCTTAGAAAACAGTCATGGTAGCCGACTGTGAGTGTGAGTCACCCGGCACACAGGTGGGAAGGGTCTGGACACACCTCTGTTCCTGAGCTGTCCCCGACCTTCAGGGTTGCCAGACACGCTCGGCTCCGAGAACCTTGATGGCTTATTTCCACCCTGTGTGATGGGGCTGCTGCTGGGACCTGAGGCTGGGCGTTCCGTTCAGCCTTTATCACTTAGTATATAATATGAAGCCTTACATGGACTTCAGTTATAACAATAATAATGAGATGAGAGCTCAGTGAAAGAATAAACACAAGAGTATATGCTAGGTGTGTGTATGTGGCGGAGGGGCAGGGGGCTGGAAAAGAAGGCCTCACCAGACAGAAAAATGCACAAAGGGCCGTCTTTCTCTCTTAGGCCCCCGCCTACCCACACAGACACCACGGAAGGGAGGGGAATGGGTTGGCTGGGTGTACCCTGAAGGGTTAGAATCGCTAGGACCCAATATGTATGTAGGTTCAATTTGGAATGATGTGACTTCAAGAAAATGAATCGTCAGTGAAGACGCTGCTCATCAGTCAGCCCAACTGTGTGCAGAGACGTGACGCTGAGTTTGGGAACCAGAAGAACACCTCTTCCTCGTGTCCTTTCCAATTTGCGGTAACACAGGCGTTTCCCAAAGAGATAGGTAAGCACCTTACTGTGTATTTCTCAAGCATTCTCGTTAAGAATGGCACTTTGAGTCCACACAAGCTTCCTGGAAGCCACCAGTGACTGTGTAGGTCTTGCTGACCCTGAGGCCAGCTCGCTTGCCTGGTTAGTCCTCTGCCGAGTGCAAAGTTGTTGAGGTAAACACACACCTTTGCACCCCCGCTCACCTGGGGCACGTGGCTTTTGACTTCTGGTCCCTCTGCAAAGCAAAGCTACTGAGAGCACTGCGATGAATAGAAGGAAACCACGACGCACCATTTATTTCTAGATCTCCTGCTTGAAAGAGCACGCGGCCTGCTGCCATTCCGACTTAGAGCTATGAAGTCGGGCCCACAGAGAAATACACGGGCGGCACCACACTGCCAAGCCCTGGCCTGTGTTTTCTTTACAAGCTGTCCCTCCTGGAGCCCCCACTTGTCTCTGAAGCGGGCAACAGTCTCTTGAGGCCTTCAGAAGAGAGATCTACTCAGAGAGTTTACCAGAAAGGCTGGCGTGGAGTTTACCCGGCACCGCATAGGAGAGCAGCACCGACAGCAGAAGTTGGGGCACGTGTTCTCCACGAGCAGCCAGACAAAGGACCCTACTGCCGCCCTCGGAAGCTTGAGGGGAACCAGCCCGCAGAGGTCCTGAGCACGCTGCTCTGCCTGATGCTCTGCAAGCGCTCTGGCTGTGACCACACCACAAACCTCAGCCATGCGGTTGGGGTTTCATGTGTGGTCGCCATCGAAGAGTTAATAGAAATCGAGGCTTTTGCCCAACTCTTTCTCGTCAGTTACACACAGATCTGCACGGCCAGAAAAACAAAGGCCACCGAATTAAGCAGTGAGAAACAGACGACATAACTAAATTGACAATTCCCCACCCCCCGCAAATGCCAATGGCTATTTTTATTTAAGGGTGAATGTGAGCTAAGAAGACAGAGCATTTTCCAGAATAACTGAACTTCATAACTGAAAGTTCTTCGGGTCCAACCCTGCCCGTCATTTAATTGTTGGAGAGACTCTGACCTGCAGGAAGGAGGGACATGCCCAGCTTTAACGGCACTGCTCTCAGGATCCGAGAAGACAAGTTACAGTTCTGCAGGAGACGCCACGAGGAGCTAGTAGTCTAACTTATTCCCTGGTCAAGCAACAGAGGAAAATGATGTTATGGTAGAAAACTGCACAGTAACTAAGAGTCTCTATAGACAGCACGCCCTCGGCTCTCCCAGCCACGGACTATCTCACACGTAATCACACGGGGTCATGTCATTCTTAACAATCGCCTTGTGGATAAAACAATACAGGTATTCGAAGCACATAAAGCGCTGTTTTGATTCAAAATGACTCTATTTTCAACTAAGCACTAAAAATGTCACTCATGTCAGAATAAAGGTATGTGCTGGCTTTCCCAGTTTCTGACTGGTCTCCTTTTTAACATGACAACCATTAGACCTCACTGCAGAAAAATCCCACCGTGCCTTGTTTACATCAGTATGAAAATCATGTCGTTATAGTCACTGCCTCTCATTTAACAAACATTAAATTAAGGCACATTTAACGTAGCTAAGTTGCATTAAAAGGTTTACTACTGAACCAAAACCCAAAATATGTTCCTAGGACAAACAAATCTGAATTACAAATGACCATGACTGGGTTTAGGATTTGAT